ATTGAATGAATCTCTTCCCAAATCGTCCCTCCCTAACACTTTCGTCTTGTTTTTATTCGTTGACGAAAATGTCAATATATTTTCGTCATAGTTTTTGTCATTCAAAAAGAGTTTTAGTTCGTTATCGTCTTGTTGTCGTCAGTGAAAAAAATGCCGTTGATGAACATTATGACGAAAATTATTCGTCAACGAAATTAACACTGGTACTAGAGCATAAACTTTCTCCTCTGTGTTGTTTGTCATGAGCTCTGTGGTGTCAGAGGGCTTTGGGTCACTAGTTAAAATGAGAGAGAGTTATGGTTAGGGTTACTAACACATTCCTGCCAGTCTTATTGTCTCCCGGCTAATCTCACAAACCACAAACACGATATATATATATTAGGGATGCACCGATACCACTTTTTTCAGAACGAGTCCGATACCGATACTTTCATTTTTGGTACTCGGCGATACCGATACCTGTATTTTCACAGCATTTGTCATTTTTTTTTAAATATTGGGTACAGAAACAAAATAATAGTAATAATAATAATAATAATATGAATCATGTTAGTTGGCTTCATTTAGCAAACAGATATTACCTTCAGTTATTTCCACACTTAATTATACCTGTTAAACGGTATTGTATAAGCTTCTGTTACTTTCACCGTTCATTTTAATGGCGCATTAGAGCTGCTCCATTGCAGCAGCTCAATATACTCTAATCACAAAACGTTTTCCTAAAATAATGCAGGGAACCACTCGTTATACATTATACGAGTGCACGCGTACTATTTTGGTGATGTAATTTGCGTCACGCGCAGTGTACACGGACCCTCCCGTACGAGTAAAAACCGAAGTATACTTTGGCCTTAAAGCAAGCTAAACATATGCAGCGTGAACACGTTTGTATTGGTGCAGAATGAGAGAGACACTTACAGCCTAGCGCATTTCACCCAGTCTGCTAGTTTCACTTCTGCTTTAAATAAAGTTGTGTATGCTTGACGTATAAAATAAATGCTATTTATAGTGAATGCCCCTATAATTTTTGTTTGTTTTATATTTACGATTTAGTTTTAATCCAAATGCATGCGCTAATGGAGCGAACA